AAATTAAAAATAGATCTACCCTATGACCCAGCAATAGCACTGCCAGGAATTTCCCCTAGGGATATAGGAGTGCTGATGCATAGGGGCACTTGCACCCCAATGTTTATAGCAGCAATTTCAACAATAGCCACATTATGGAAAGAGCCTAAATGTCCACCAACTGATGAATGGATAAAGAATTGTGGTTTATATACACAATGGAATACTACTTGGCAATGAGAACGAATGAAATATGGCCTTTTGTAGCAACGTGGATGGAACTGGAGAGTGTTAAGTGAAATAAGTCATATAGATAAAGACAGGTACCATATGTTTTCACTCTTATGTGGATCCTGAGAAATTTAACAGAAGACCATGGGGGAGGGGAAGGGGGAAAAAGGGAGGGAGGCAAACCATAAAAGACTCTTAAATACTAAGAATAAACTGAGGGTTGACGGGGGGTGCAAGGGAGGGGAATGTGGGTGATGGGCATTGAGGAGGGCACCTGTTGGGATGAGCACTGGGTGTTGTATGGAAACCAATTTGACAATGAATTTCATAATAAAAAAATAAACATAAACAAGCCTATTTTGTTTAATATAAGTATTGTTACCTTGGCTTTCTTTTCACTTCCATTTGCGTGATAAATATTTTTCACTCTTCACTTTCAATCTGCATGTGGCTTTAGGTCTGAAGTGGGTCTCTTCTAGGCAGCATGGAGATGGGTCTTGTTTTTTTATCCATTTTGTCACCCTATATCTCTTGATTGGAGTGTTTAGTCCATTTACATTCGATGTAATTATTGATAGGTACATACTTATTGCCATTTTGTTGTTTTGTGGTTGTTTTTGTAATTCTCTGTTCCTTTCTTCTCTTGCTCTCTTCTCTCACAATTTGGTGGGTTTCTTTAGTGATATATAATTGGATTCCCCTTTCTTTATATTTTGCATATGTGTTACCAGTTTTTGGTGTGTGGTTACCCTTACATTTATATATAACATCTTATGTATATAGCAGTCCATATGAAATTGATGGTCACTTAAGTTTGAATCCATTCATAAAGCACTAAACTTTTACTCTTCTCCATTCCTCATGTTTTAGTTATGTGGTGTCTTACTTTACCTCCTTTTACTTACTGAACATCTTGACTCGTTTTTATAGATGTACTTAATTTTACTGCTTTTATGCTTCTTTTCTTACTCTTTATTACAATCTTTCATTTCTACTCAAAGAGCCCCTTTTAACATTTTTGTAGGGCTGTTTGAGTAGTGGTGAATGTCTTTAACCTTCATTTGTCTGGGAAACTTTTTATCTCTTCTATTCTGAATGATAGACTTGCTGGACAGAGTATTCTTGGTTGCAGGTTTTTTTTCTTTCAGCATTTTGAATATATCATGTCACTCCCTTCTGGCCTGCAAAGTTTATTCTAAAAAGTCCACTGATAGCCCTATGGGGTTTCCCTTGTATATAACCGTTTTTTTTTTTTTTTTTCTCTTGCTTCTTTTAAAATTCTCTCTTGATCACTACTGTTTGCCATTTTAATTACCATTTGTGATGTGAACCTCCTTGGGTTGATTTTGTTGGGGGATCTCTGTGCCTTCTGGATCTGGATTCCTGTTTCCTTCCCCAGATTCAGGAAGTTTTCAGCTATTATATCTTCAAGTAAAATTTCTGCCTCCATTTTTTTTTCTTTCTTCTTCTTTTGGGACCCTTACAATGCAAATGTTATTACACTCGATGGTGTCACTGAGTTCCCTTAATCTATTCTCATTTATTATTATTATTCTTTTTTCTTTCTTTTTTCCGCTTGATTGCTTCCCATCACTCTGTCCTCCAGGTCATTGACTCATTCTTATGCTTTCACTTGCCTACTATGTATTCCTTCTAGTGTATTTTTAATTTCAGTGATTGAGTTATTCATCTCTGATTGGTTCTTTTTCATGTTTTCTGTTTCCTTGTTGAGAGTCTCACTGAGGTCCTCCCCTCTTTTCCCAAGTCCAGTGAGTGTCTTTATGACCATTACTTTAAATTCTCTATCAGTCATATTACTTATCTCTCTTTTGCTTAGCTCTCTTGATATGATTTTGTTCTATTTCATTTGGGACATATTATTCTGTCTCCTCGTTTTGTCTCACTCTCTGTGTCTATGTGTTAGGAATGTCAGCCATGTCTTCTGCTCTTGAAAGTAGTGCAATGTCCCCTGTTCTCTAGGATCTTGTGCTTCAGGGATGTTTCCTATGCGTATTGTGTTTGCCCTACTTTTGTGGCTGGGCTTCTTCAGTCCAGTTCTTCTGCAAGTCCAGTCATCTGCAATGACTCTTTACCTGTTGTGGGCAGGGTTTGGTCCCTGTGGCCAGTCTGGGACCACCTTGGGCTTGAGGTGGTTC